CACACCTACATTAGTATCTACACACCTACATTAGTACCTACACACCTACCAAACTGCATGCAGTGCCTCTTCGCTCACTCAGGATACCACTGCCACAATGCTAGCATATTTTTAAAGTAGGTGCGAGCTCGGCGAAATCAGCGAATAGAGCATTCGTAAACAGCGTATGATTTGAAAGAGGTAGAATTGGCGCACAATCCGCAGTACTATTTTGTATCACTATTTTATCAAAATTTATCATGAAATTAACGGTTGGCATTTTAATATCTTTGCCCAACTTTAATTAGTCCAAATTTATTACAGTAGGATACGCAGTAACGTGGCTGCTGTAAAACTTTTAGTAAAAAAGCCGTTACAAATTGTAACCGAAATCTACTTTGTGGCAGTGGGTAGATTGAGCCCATGAGCGAGAGCGCCATCTGTCTGGGTTTCGCCACACCTACATTCAGTACCTACATACCTACATCAGTTGCGCGAGCGCACCTACATTAAAACTGCGTGTCTTCAGTGCGTGCACCTAGCTATTCCAGTACGTGACATTACTTGGAATTACTATGTCGCTGCTGCACGATTTCACTTATTACATGTACCTACAAGGCTGACATCAGTACCTGTTCCAGCATTATCTATTGGCGTTGCCGCAGCAGCCTGTTCTCTGTGCGCAGCCGCCGCAGTTCAATTTGTTCCTCTGCCTGCTTTGCCTCTTCAGTTGTTGTACTCTTTCTCTTAGTCTACAAACAAGTGCTGAGTCAGATGATGAAGCGCAATCACGTAAATATGTAGCGGGCACTCACGCGCCCAATAAAGCCTGCGCAATATCTCATATCAGGCTGCCTACATTAATTCTTTGTGTTCATGAATTTATGCTGTGTTTCCTAGATGCAAATTAAACACGAACGTAAACATTTTTTCTCGAAATGCTTCGTCTCACTTGTTTCCTCACCTGTTTTCAAATGGACAAGTCATGCCCCACACTGCGTCATAAAGCCACTACACTCACCAAGTCAGTGTGACTATAACTTTGAATAATTTTATCAATTTAAAAAGTCTTCAGCAGAGCATTGAATCAGGACTAGCTCCAAAAAGAAGAAGTTGTGACAAAATGCGTGCGCAGTTGTAATCCGAGAACGAGTTAGCCTTCAAGTAAATATGCTTGGCATTTAATTTGACATTTAGGAAATCTAACAGACGAAATTACAAAGCTTGATGCCTTCATTGTAGCCAAGACCATATTAGAACGCTGACAATGCCAGCTCTGACTGTTCTCCGTCGCAACGACAAAAATGACAAGCATTCATCCAAAATTCCTATAAATTTACAATATCAATATTAAAGTGAGTTGTCTGAAATGTGCGGAGGTCAGCAATTCGTCTGTACGAGCAGCCGATAGGACGAAAGTCACCTTATTCTTCTTTGCATTGCTTATTCACTTGGTAGGACAGATAGAGGTAGTGATCCGGATCCTGTGCATATTCTCCGGCATGTCCTTTCTGGAAGTACTGAAAAGATGACACGCAGGACACACGGGTCAGCATGCACAAGAACTAGGCAGATACGGCATCGGCAGAGCTTGGCATCGACCCTTTCTCCTTGTGATTTCCCTCAGCTAAGGAGAAGCGTAGTAGTCATACTTCACTTGGAAGGGGCCGTATAGAATCAGCGGGTGTAAGTAGATACCATAAAAATCGCAGGATAGCACGTCCACACACGTATGACAGTTGGACCGTCGAGCTCGAGAGAAAACTGAACTGCGCGCCGGGCCGCAACCGCACCTTGAGCATTCCCCTCCATGTCGAAGCGACATCAGCTCGTTCTTGTCGTGTCGATGAGGATGGCCACTCGCGATTGCGGAATATCGCCTCGCATTCCTGCAATCAGACACGCAAAAACGTTGCTGATTGAAACTATAACCATATTGCACACGCCGTGCCACACTGCGCGGGAAGGAGCGCTAGCGACGCCATCTGCGGACGATGCACCGCAACGCAGACCGCTCTGCGATTCGTCTGAGCGAAAAATCGCAGAGAATGTAGAACAATCCTGCCGTGCAAAAAACATGACCAGCCGATTGAAAAACCACGCAACAACGCATATACGATCTCGTCCTGCTCGACGCTTGCACTCGTCGATGTATAGATATACTGTATATAGAACGCATTGCACAGTACGCATAGAATAGCATGCAGTATCCTCGGATATGAAGACGGTCATGACCGGCAGCGAGCCTCCATCGGCATCGTGGTCGTGAAGAGAGTGCAGGAACCATGACGCACGCGTACCATCTCGACTGTTAGACTCTGCTGACTGGAAGTGACTGTGAAGTTCCAGCAGTTGCTCCTGCGGCTGGCAGTAGATATTATCAAGAGCCTAATAAAACCCTTTGCTATTATGTACTCAGAGAGATCAGCGCCACCTCAGCGAATGAGAATCTCAGCGAACAGAAAGGCATACGGTCTCGCATCGTACCCATCCTGCTCCGTAAAAAACATGCCCTCCTCGCAAAGCCGTCCCTTCCAGAGGCCGCCACTATTCCGCGAACGCCGCCCACCCTCCACCATTCCACCACCCAGCGCGTCGCTCCTACCTGCACCATGCAGCTCGAGTGGAACATGCAAGTCCGAGCGCGCGCCAATGTGCCTTGAACATCTCTTCGGCATCTCGTACTCCTGCATCAGCCTTCACGAGCACGCAGAACGCGCCTCCTCCGGCCATCTGCATCAGCAGCAGGCCGCGATTGAATGCCACTGCCCTGGCAGTAGCCAACCTCGCGGTCATGCCAGCGAGTACGCCTGCACAAGAGAGAGGCGAGCCCAACGATACATCGCGTTGCCATCTGCTGGCGTGCCTAACAAGAAGTTCTAGCTATCCAGTGTCATGCGTGAGCGCATTCTAAAAACCAATGCTCGCTGAACCAAGTGCACCAGAGCTCGGTCCAACTTGACGGCCTTGCAGCAAGTATCCAGCAGGGGGAGTGGAAAAAAATTGCCGTGCGTTACCCTTTCAAGATTTTTGCTGTGTGTCTCAAAAATTAGTTGATGTCCATGGAAAATAAAACTGCGGGCTAACGGACCTACTTTGCTTCAGTGCCTTCCATTACGTGCCATCTCTCCCACGTTAAAAATGTTGGCCAAAAAGTTGTTCCGCGTTCCCCTTAAATTTCTGATTAAACCTGGCAGCAACTCGCCGTGCCCGTAACCAAACAGAACAATTCGACCACGGCAGTAATCGGGTTGCCAACTTGCATAGGCGCATTAGCGCAGCGTGCGCTAACGTGATCACACGCACACCGCAACGACGACGCAGCGAGCTGCTCGCCGCAAAGACCATACATGTAGTTTACACATTAGTTAGTCGCCCCTCACCGTGGAAATGGGACTGCAGGACGCATCCGGCCGCGCCCGAGAAGGGTATTTCGAATTCGCCGGTCGCGCCCTTACTGTAAATTGGCGCGAAATTCGCGAGGCGTAGAAACGATAGATGAGCAGATGCATGCGTGATAAGAGCTGCCCGCTCGCGCGCTGCCCGCCATGCACGCGCGCACCCTCATGCACCGGCGCGCCACATCGCACGCGATGCGGTGTAGCGAAGCCTCACCACGACGAAACGAAAAAGCGCCATTTGTTCACGCAGAAACCTTTTAGCGTTGTACTCTTTTGTCTTGCCACATTTCTCGAATTAGCTCACTGACAATTTCTTTTCAAATTGCCACCGTCTAGAAACTTGCGTCGCACTCCCACTTCCCCAACCAATCACCTCTTTGAACATTTCAATTAAATATTGTTACCTTCCATGTATACACCCCTAGCTAACTTTCGAGCTCCCTGTTTGACATTTCTTCAAATGCTACTGACTAGAATCTCATCGTACCTCTCTATCAACTCTAACTACTTTGAAATTTCATAAAAACTTCTTACCACTCTCCGCGTACCGCCCCTCCCTACTTGCTCCTGTTTGAACAAGCAATTTCTTCAAATCGGCCTACCGACTAGACTCTACCGCTACACGACCTTTCTCACCCTTCACAAATCGCTTCCATCTTATTTCTACCGCGCCCACCCCCGCCTTTCCTACCCCTCCTCCACCCCTACCTGCCAGCCGCCAACGACTTACCTTCATCACGTTGAGAAGCACATCATTCCTTGGCCAGGCTGCATCGTCCTTTCTCCTGGAAAGGAACTTCGTGCTCAGGGTAGTGTATGCGACGCGATGTCGCGCCGAATCACCTTTCTCCTCTGGCGACGACTGCTTTCAGAGTAGTCGGGCGAATCGCTCCGCGGCTCGGCGAGGTTAAACGCGTTGCACACCAAGCTGCAGGACGAACCGCAGGAAAGCTTGACACGGAACTGGCCTTCGCCGGTATTGAGCTCCTGCAAGAGCGGCGTCATCTTTTGCGCTTACCCGCCCAGTCGATCTGTAATTGAGGACTTCAACACAACTATGACTAGAACACTTCATGCAATCTGTAATTGCATGGACTTCAAACACACTATGACGTTTAGAACTTCAGCATAGTTCGTGCTCAATTGAGGGACTAAACTTTCAAATATCAGCCACTATGAAGCCTTAGAACCTCAGCTAATGAACGCTCGTGGAGAGGTTGCAGGACTCAACACACGGATGACTGAACCTCGAGCGCTGAACTGTGAATTTTTTCCTGTCTGAATATTGCAATTTTGCTCACGATGAACTGCGGTATACCTACCACACACACACGCCGCACGCACTAGTCGCCAACGCACGCACACGACGCACGCTCACGCACTCGCACGCACGCCACGCACACACACAGCAACAGCTGCGCTGGCCTTAGCAGTGAGCTTCACAGGCTAACAGGCCACTTCAATTCGAATGTAGACTCCGGACTCATTCGCCTGAATGTTTGTGTAGGAATATTAGTACACACCTGTTATGAATGCATAGTAGTATACTGCGGTTACCCTTCGCTTCTACATGAGAGAATATCGTTTCTTCTCGGCAATGCTTGAATTTGCGCATAGACGCTCTATATTTTAGGCGCCCAAATGTTACAGAGATGGCAGAGCTGCATATGTCACGTACTTTGGACAGCAAACAACACCATCAAGGCTCTACTAATAATCACAAGGAACGTTGGCCGCTTCAACAGGGTCACCACTGTTCACCTCGATTGATGATTCCCGCATCCCACCCTCTCTCATCATGCAGCAACTGCTTGCACCTTCAGTAGAGCTAAATTCGTCTACGGGTGCTCGATCCCTGGCTCAACACAAGTACACTGTCACCATATGTTACAGTGCCTAACCCTAACACCAAGCCCTGACCTGACTCTAATTGTAATCGGAGCCAAACTTAGATTAACTCCAGTTTTCATTGGTTTCGGGGACGAGAGGAGAGAGGAGGCAGGGAAGGGATGGAGGGAAGGAGAGTAAGAAAGATGAGGAAGAGAGGAGGCCACAACGGAAAGAAAGAGGAGAGTAGGAGAGTCAGTGAGCAGATGCAGAGAGAGAAGAAAGAGAGACATATGGCGAAGAAGGAGGAGAGGAGGAGCTGGCGGAAGCGTGCGGGGGATGTGATGGGGGGGCGGGAAAGGGTAGGAAAGAACAAGAGAGAAACGCCCACTGCCGGTCACGTTTGATGACCTTACCACCCCCACAGCACTGCCCTTCGCCATTGTTCATGACATTTTGCAGCTTTTATAAGTAAACACCGTATTACATAGGACAGGAGTAACGGGGTCGCTGTAAAACTTATAGTAAAAAAGCATAAGAAATTCTTACGGAAATCAGCTTGTGGCAGTGGTAGAATTGAGCCAGAGCGAGAGCGCCATCTGTCGTGGAGTTTGTGCCACAATGCTAGTACTATTTCTAAAGTAGGTGGAGCTCGGGGGAAATCCAGCGAATAGAGATTCGTAAACAGCGTATGATTTGAAAGAGGTAAATGGGCGCACAATCCGCGTACTATTTCGTATCACTATTTTATCAAATTTGTCATGAGATAACGGTCGGATTTTTAATATCTTTGCAACTTTTATTAGTCCAAATCTTATTACATAGGATACGAGTAACGTGCCTGCTGTAAAACTTGTAGTAAAAAAGCGTTACAAATTGTAACCGAAATCTACTTGTGGCAGTGGTAGATTGAGCCCATGAGCGAGAGCGCCATCTGTCGTGGAGTTTGCACACCTACATCAGTACCTACATACCTACATAAGTGCCGAGCGCACCTACATTAAAACTGGTTTCTTCATGCGTGCACCAGTAGCTATTCCAGTACGTGCATTACTTGAATTACTATTCGCTGCTGCACGATTACACTATTACATGTATCTACAAGGCTACATCAGTACCTGTTCCAGCATATCTATGCGTTGCCGCAGCAGCCTGTTCTCTGTGCGCAGCCGCCGGAGTTCAATTTGTTCCTCTGCCTCTTTGCTCTTCAGTGTGTTGTACTCTTTCTCTAGTCTACAACAAAATGCTGAGTCAGATATGAAGTGCAATCTGTAAATATTAGGGGGCACTCACGCCCAATTAAAGCTGCGCAATATCTCATATCAGGCTGCCTACATAATTCTTGTGTTCATGATTTATGCTGTTTCCCTAGATGCAAATTAAACACGAATGTAAACATTTTTCTCGAAAATTCGTCTCACTTGTTTCCTCACCTGTTTTCAAATGACAAGTCATGCCCACACTGGTCTAAAGCCACTACACTCACCAAGTCAGTGTGACTATAACTTTGAATAATTTTAATCAATTAAAAAAGTCTTCAGAGACATTGAATCAGACCAGCTCCAAAAAGAAGAAGTGTGACAATGGTGCGAGTTGTAATCCGTAGAACGAGTTAGCTTCAAGTAAATAGGCTTGGCATTTAATTTGACATTTAGGAGATCTAACAGAGCGGAAATTACAAGCCTGGATGCCTTCATTGTAGCCAGACCGTATTAGAACGTGACAATGCAGCTCTGACTGTCTCTCCGTTGCAACGACAACAATGGCAAGCATTCATCCAAAATTCCTATAAATTTACAATCAATATTCAAATGATTGGTCGAAATGTGGGAGGTCAGCCATTCGTCAGTACGAGCAGCCGATAGGACGAAAGTCACCTTTTCATTTTCTTTGCATTGTATTTCACTTGGTAGGACAGATAGAGTAGCTGATCCGGATCCTGTGCATATTTCTCCGGCATGTCTTTCTGGAAGTACTGAAAAGATGACACGCAGACACACGGTCAGCATGCAAGAACTGAGATACGGGCATGGCAGAGCTTGCATCGACCCTTTACCCCTTGTGATTTCCCCTCAGTAAGGGAGAAGCGTAGTAGTCATACTTCACTTGGAAGGAGCCGTATAGAATCAGCAGGTGTAAGTGATACCATAAGAAAGCGCAGGAAGCACGTCCACACACGTATGACAGTTGGACCGGGAGCTCGAGAGAAACTGAACGCGCGCCGGGCCGCAACCGACCTTGAGCATTCCCTCCATGTCGAGCGACATCAGCTCGTTCTTGCTGTCGATGAGGATGGCCATCGCGATGCGGAATATCGCCTCGATTCCCTGCAACAGACACGCAAGGTTGCTGATTGAAACTAAACCATTTGCACACGCCGTGCCACCACGCGCGGGAGAGGTAGCGACGCCATCTGCGGACATGCACGGCAACGCAACCGTCTCCTGCGATCGTCGAGCGAAAATCGCAGAGAATGTTAGAGACAATGCCGTGCAAAAATACATGCCAGCGATTGAAAAAACACGCAACAACCGATATACGATCTCGTCGCTGCTGAACGCTTGCACTCGTCGATGTATAGATATACTTGGCTGTATAAGAAACCATGCACATACGCAAGGTATAGCATGCAGTACCTCGGATATGAAGACGTCCATGACCCGGCAGGCGAGCTCCATCGGCAGCGTGGTCGTGAAGAGAGTGAGGAACCACGACGACGCGTACATCGACGTGTAGAAGCTCTGCGACTGGAAGTGACTGTGAAGTTCCAGCAGTTGCTCCTGCGGTGGCAGATAGATATTATCAAGAGCTAATAAAACCTTGCTATTATGTACTCAGAGAGATCAGCCACTCAGCGAAATGAGAATCTAGCAAACAAGAGGCATACCGGTCTCGCGACCGTACTATCCCGTCCGAAACACTGTATCCTCCCTCGCAAATGCGTCCCCTCCAAGGCGCCATATTGCGAACGCCGCCACCCTCCACCATCCACCACCCAGCGGTCGCTCCTACCTGCACCATGCACTCGAGCTGGAACATGCAGAGTCCGAGGCGCGCCATCGATGGCTTGAACATCTCTCGCATCTCGTACTCCTGCATCAGCTTCACGAGCACGCAGAACGCCTCCTCCTCCGGCATCTGCATCAGCAGCAGGCCGACGATGAAGCCACTGCCCTGGCAGTAGCCAACCTCGCGGTCATGCAGCGAGTACGCCTGCAAGAGAGAGGGAGCCGCAACGATGACATCGCGTTGCCATCTGCCTGGCGTGCCTAACAAGAAGTTCTAGCTAATCATTGTCATGGTGAGGCATTCTAAAAACAATGCTTCTGAACCAAGTGCAGCAGAGTCGGTCCAACTTGACCGGCATTGCAGCAATATCCAGCAGGGGGGGTGGAAAAGCCAATTGCCGTGGTTGCCCTTCAGATTTGCTGTGGTGTCTCAAAAATTAGTTGATGTCCATGGAAATAAACTGCAGTGGCTAACGTACCTACTTTGCTTCAGTGCCTTTCCCTTACGTAGCCATCTCTGTCCCACGTTAAAAGTGTTGGCAAAAGTTGTCACGGTTCCCCTTAAATTTCTGATTAAACCTGGCAGCACTCGCCGTGCCGTAAAACAACAGAAAATTCGACCACTGGTCAGTAACCGGGGTGCCAACTGTAGCGCATTAGCGGCAGCATGCGCTAACGTGATCACACGCACACCGCAACCACGGACGCAGCGAGTGCTCGCCGCAAAGACCATACACGTAGTTTACACATTAGTTAGTCACCGCGGCACCGTGAAATGGGACTGCAGACGCGACCGTGGCGTGAAGGTATTCGAAATTCCGGTCGCGCGCTTTCTGTAAATTGGCGCGAAATTCGCGAGGCGTAAGATAAACGAGTGGATGAGCAGACGATGCGTGTAAGACGCTGCCCCGCACGCGCGCGCCCGCATGCACGCGCGCACCCTCATGCACGCGATGCGGTGAGCGAGCCTCACCACGACGAAACGAAACGCGCATTTTTCACGCAGAAACCTTTTAGCGTTCTACTCTTTTTGTCTTGCAGCATTTTCTCGAATTAGCTCACTGACATTTCTTTCAATTCTTTCATTCTTCAAATTGTCACCGTCTAGAACTTCGTGCACTCCCACTTCCCCAACCATCACCTCTTTAACATTTCATTAAAATTGTTACCTTCCTGTATCACCCCTAGCTAACTTTCGAGCTCCTGTTTGAATTTTCTCCAAATTGCTACTGACTAGAATTCCATGTACCTCTCTATCCAACCTCTAACTACTTGAAATTTCATTAAAAACTTCTACCACTCTCCCGTACCGCCCCTCCCTAACTTGCTCCTGTTTGAACAAGAATTTCTTTCAAATCGCTACCGACTAGGACTCTACGTACCACGACCCTTCTCACCCTTCACAAATCGCTTCCATCTTATTCTACCGGCACATCTGCCTCTCCCTCCCCTCCTCCACCCCTACCCTGCAGCGCCACGCTTACCTTCATCACGTTGAAGAGACTCTCCTGGCCGGTGCCGTCCTTCTCCTTGAAGAACTCGTGCTCAGGGTAGGTGCGCGCGATGTCGCGCCGAATCACCTTCTCGCTCGGCGACGACTGCTTCAGGTAGTCGGCGAATCGCTCGCGGTCGGGCGAGTTAAACGCGTTGCACACCAGCTGCCAGACGATACCGCGGAAGTGACACGGAATGCCTCGCCGTATGAGCTCCTGCAAGAGCGGCGTCATCTGCTGTTACGCAGTGTCTCGGACACTATCGCGGCGAGCGGGGTGAATGTGAATTTTTTCCGTCTTGATATTGCATATTTGCTCACGATGAACGTAGAAATATATACAAACACGCACGCATCATACACACACACACACACACACGCACGCGCACGCACGCACGCACGCACACACACACACACACACACACACACACACACACACACACACGCACACACACTGCGCTGCCTATAAGGGGTAACAGCTTATGAATGTAGACTCAGACTCATTCCTGAATGTTGTAGAATATTAGTACACACTGTATGAATGCATAGTAGGTTACAGCGTTCCTCGCTCATATGTTCTTTGCAATGCTTGAGTTGCGCATACGACGCTCTATATTTTAGGCGCCCACTGTTAACAGAGATGACAGGCTGTCACGTACTTGGCACAGCAAACAACACCACAATCACTAATAATCAAGAACGTTGGCCGCTTCAAAGCGTCACCACTGTTCACCCCTCAGATTGAGATCCCCATCCCACCCACAGACAAGAATTCATGAAATGCCATGCTGTCTCTGCATATTAGCAACTCTTAGCACCTCAGTAGAGCTAAACGGTCTACGTCTCCGATCCCTGAGTACTGTCACAATGTACAGCTAACCCCAACACCAACCCTGACCCTGACTCTAATGTAATCGCAGCCCAAACTTAGATTACTCCAGTTTTCATTTTCTTCGAGGACGAGAGAGAGGAGGGAGGGAGGGATGGAGGGAAAGAGAGTAAGAAAGAGAGAGAGAGAGAGAGAGAGAGAGAGAGAGAGAAGAGAGAGAGAGAGAGAGAGAGAGAGAGAGAGAGAGAGAGAGAGAGAGAGAGAGAGAGAGAGAG